TATCTTTTATTTTGCTTTTCCTTCTTTTTATTCAGTGTGTGTGTGTGTGTGTAATTGTGTGAACAACTACTACTATTATCATATTGTTATGTGTAATAACCTCGCCACGAGCAAGTATGTGTATGTGTTTGTTTTTGTCTTCTCCTTGAAGCTCCAATCTCCTACCCCGGAAAAAAATTCCAACTTTCACTCATCAAGCCATGCGGTAACATCGTTCTACCCCTATCTTACGCCATTGAAGGCAATGCCAAGCTTAAGTGTGGGGGAGTAGTTTATTATTGTGATTGTGTAAGTGTGATTGAATGCTTGGAGCCTTGATGTATGCCCAAATTGGAAAATTTTGAGGGCTCCAAGAAATGCTTGCATGATCAAAGTGGTCGGTTTGTGGGAGAATCTCGTGCTTATTGGCATTAACCTTGAATTGTTGCATGTGATCGAGTGTGTCCTATGATGATGACTGAGAGGTGCATTAGGATATTGCAAAGGTTTAGTTCTCATGTGTGCAAAAATGAATGGATGTCTTGACTCGATTACTTGTTGATTACAATTGCCATACATTGTGTTTTGTGAATTGGAATAGATGGTTGGGTGACTAGGTAGCCATGTGAGTTTTGAGTCGATCGTTTTCTTCTTGTGTTCTTAGATCCCTCTTACCATGGCGAGTGACATCACAGTTGCCACTAGTGAGTATGATGGAGGCATAGGATTAGTCCACACCCAAATGTTGACTGTCCCGAAATGTTCTATCCCCTAGCAACCCCTTTGAGCCTTGTGACTTTGGGGGTTGTTCTCTTGTAGGAGATTTTCGGTTGTAAGCTTAATGGTGTTTGATAGAACGACCCCCTCATACTTTCTTCATGTCTATACGTGAGTCGTCCTTGTGTCCCGAAGCTCGTGCTTAGGAGCTCCATTGAGGTTCTACATAGGAGGATTTTGCACGATTCTTGCTAGGAAGGAAAGAGAAAAGAGTAGTGTTGGAGTAGGTTCTTAAAAGAGAGCATTGGTCGTTGAATGTAATTTGGCAAGTGTTTTACTCTTTAGTACCCCTCAAACAAAAAGAAAGGAAAGGAAAGTGGAAAGAAAAAAGAATAAAAAAATAGGTAATAAAACGGGGTAAACAAAGTAGAGAGTGCCACAAAAATCAAAGTGTATGCTCTAGGAGGGGTTTCTTGGCACTCAAGCAATTGAAACACCCACATTGTTGTTGAACTCCCTCACTACTATGTTTGAAATGTGATAGCAAGAATAGACCGAGGAAGTGTGCTTGAATGTAGTTCATGATGGGTGATAGTTTGCAAGGGAGAAGTAAGGTTTTTGGCCGATGCTAGTGGTCATTGTTTGTAGGGAAGGTTCTTAGTCGAAACCATAGAACCTTCGGGTTTAGGGTGAAGAAGTAGGACCTCATGTTGTGTTTGCCACCACCCAAAAGACTTTTTTCCCGTGTCCAAGACAATTGCCAGTCATTTGAACCCGTGTCTAAGACCTCCGGACAAGCTAGTGATGAAAACCTTCCCGTGACTCTAGCATTTAGAGGTTGCCGCTATGATGAAGAGACGACAATGCCGAGTGTTGATGATTGTGCACATTCTTTGCACCAGATGGTCCCAACCCCACTGGTTAAGAAAGTGAGTGATTTATTCTTGCTTTGCATGTCATATCTTACCCCGGTGAGGACCATTGTTGCCCATTCATTTGTTCCTTGGACTTGAACTCTATGCATGGTTAGTTGTGGTTGATGAGTGATCTTGTTGAGACTTGCATTGATTCGTGAACAAGGTGAGAACTTTTTGTTTGCTCATTTTGGTGGCCTCTAATGTCGTTTGTGGTGGATGCTGCTATCGCTTGCAACGGTCCATGCGTTAATTGCCAATAGCCATTGAGATTTCCCACTTTGCGCCCTTTGAGTTGTCCCCAAAATATTTTGTTAGGTTGAAATATTACCTTGTGTGAAATGGTTTGCTTGGGGACAAGTAAACGTCTAAGTGTAGGAGAGTGGTTCGGACCGAAATGTACACTTCTTATCCCCGTTTCTCTTTGGCGTTTGTGGCATTTGAGCTCCAAAAAGGGTGGTTTTATGCTAGGTTTGATGTGGTTCAGTGTGTTTTAGAGTCTAACAGGTGGAACCAACCCCTGAGCAAAAAGTTGGAAGAAAAGGCACGAGGACCGTCCAAACCTCGGTTTGAGGGAGAAGGTAAGTTAACCCTCAAGTGCCTGGGCCAAGAGGGCTACAATCGTAGCCTATAATGCATTCCTTGGCCTAGCGATTGAGAGTGTGGGTTCCAACCACTGTTGCTCCTCCTAACGGTTCGCAATGTCCATGGTAGTTAGTTAGGGGGAAACAACTCCCGAGTGAAGCTTCTTGCCAAGAGTTTCAATCATTTTACTTTCCAAGTCTTGCATTTTTAATCGTAGATTGTAGAGATTCTTACAAACTTCATTCCGCTGGATAATGTTTCAAACAATCAAAGTAGGGGTACATGGACCGGCCCAGGTTGATATATAAGCATACTTGCCCTATATTGCACCCATTTAAGGTTTATACTTGGGCCTTAGGTGGGATTTACTTGTGATACTCGGAGTGAGTCACTGTATTTCTCAAAAAATGGCTATTAGTGTCACAAACGCTAAAGTTTTGGTTATACAAATGTATTTTTCCTTATTAATAAGTTAAATTATATGAACAATTAAAAGTTAAGAACAAAATAACATGATATTTGAGCTCGAGTCAAACTGGTGAGTTGATTGATTAGGCACGATATTGAGTAAAGCTTGTGAGCCAAGGTTGTCAACCTAGTCTAGCCCGTTGGCCCGACCGAGTAAGTGGGTTGAGGGTTAGTGGTCCGACCGCTTTAACTCGGTTTATCTCGGATATATGAAAAAATCATTATATTATTTAGGGCTAATACCACTACAACACCCGAACTATCACAAAAATGCCACTTGTGTCCTATTGTATCAAATATTCCATCTGTGCCCTAAACTATGATACTTTGTGTCATTTGTATCCTGTCAATTTCGTTGACCATTAAAGATAACGTTTGACCAAACGGTGGTCAACGTGGCAAAAAATGTGCCTGCCACATAGATGCCACGTCATTGACCTCATATTTTTTAATTCAAATTAAATAAAAACTGAGTTATAAATAAAATAAAAAAATTTTAGAAAATTAAAATAAAAAATAATTATTTGCTCCCCACCCCCACCCAATCTCCGCTTCTTCCTCTTCCTCTTCCCCCTCTTCCTCTCCATTCCAAGTAACTTTGTCGCCAACCACCTCCTTCATCTCTCCCATTTTTAGTTCAGTTCCACTAGTTACAGGATGATTGAAATGGAAGTGGCGATCATAGTCAGACAGAAATAGAAGCAACGGGGGCATAGGGTTTCAATGGAAGAGGCAGAGGGGTTTCCCTATGGAAAGAGCCGATTTTGTTTTCTGTTTGGCGACTTTGGCTTCGAAATCCAAGTGTGCCCACAATTGTTGCGGCCTTTGACTGAGAATGGAAACCTGGTAGAGCTTCTACCATTTTTTCGAAGAACCTTAATTTTTCCAAAACAAATTTTGTTCAATTCAACTCAATCGGAGATTGAAATCATGAATAAAGCATTGTAATACGTTCTGGGTGGGAAGAGGTCGTTACATGGGCCTTGATTTGGAGTTTTGCCGAATGAGAAAGATGATTGGAGCGGGTGGTGCCAAGGAGCCGGATGGAAATCTGCTGCATTTCTGGGTTCAAAGAGTAGAGTGAAGGACTGGGAGGTGGTGGCGACCAGGATCGACGGTGGCTGGCATGAAGCCTTGATGACGACGGGGGACTCACGACGCTCCTTCGTCGGCGACTCCGACCAAATCACCCGCGGCGGCGTTCCTTCTGTTTGGGAGATCCAGCCCAGGAAGCCGTGGATCCCGCCGAAATCGTCGCACAGGCTAAGGAATCTTCGAGGTGTTTCTGGGCAGAAGAGTAGCTTCTTGGCGATTTGGATTCGGGATTTCAAATCAGGAAATTGAAGATGTTTCCAGGTTGGATGCGTCGCAATTTTTAATTTTTGAGAATTGGGGAAGAGGGGATAATGGGATGAGGGGTCTGTGAAATGAGTTATTATTTTTTTAAATTATTTAAATTTTATTAATTTAGATGAAAAATAAATAAAAACTAATATGAAAAATTCCACGTTAGATGCCACATCAGCGCTGACTAGATTTTCTGTTAAAAACTAACAGTCAACACTAACGGAATCATAGTTATGGACACAGATGGAATATTTAATACAATAGGACACAAGTGACATTTTTGCGATAGTTCGGGTGTTGTAGTGGTATTAACCTATTATTTATACATTTATAAATTATATCAAATCTCATATAACATATGAATAATAACATATAACATTACACCAAAATAACATGTCGTACTTAGATCCAACATATAGTGAAATTTCACACATACTTATGTAACATTAGTATTCAAATGTTCAACTTAGTATTCCAAAGATTGAATTAGGTGAAAAAGAAAATCGAAAAATAGGCACATTTCGCAAACAAAAAAAAAACGATACAATTTGACCTCCAACTCGATATCTTGTAGTGGTCGACTCAGTAGGTATTAAAGTGGGTCAACCCGCATTGTGAACTCATCACCTTACGAATCCTTGATATATGTTAATTGTTAAGGGCAACGTCAAGCATACAGTAGGGCGCGTCGTGGAAAGCCCATTCATTCTGCCCCTAGCTTGAGCCCACTAATAGCCTGGAGGAAGAAAAAGACAAATTAACAACGAAAAAAACTTTCAAAAACCCTCAAAGGATCGTCGTCCTTGCTCTCGCCTCTCTGCTAAAACCCTTCTCCTTCCTCTCCTTTGCCTACAAGAAGCGAAGTTCAAAGACCTCCCGGAACATCTAAAGTAACCTTCTTTGCTGGCTGCCCGGAGTTCCCATCTGAAAGCTCTCTTCCAATTCAACCATTAGAGAATCGAAGTACAACCTGAAGAGAGGGAAACAACCATGTCGGAGAAGCGGCAAAAATCGGTATGTCCCGCCTGGGGGAACTATAAGGAGTTGCAGGAGCTGGTGAGGCACCATATCGAGTCGTTTGACTACATGGCTGCCAGAGGGCTCGAAGTTATGATGGAGAATATCAAACCTGTCAAGATTTATGACCCGGCAACCGACACCACTCTTTCTCATATCCTTTTTGTGTTCATTGCGAATACTGCTTTTGTGAATATGGTTATTTGCCTTTTGTAGTGTAATTAGGGCAACGGTGTTTGCATTTTGTTGGGGATTCAATTCGTAACTGGTCGGGTGAAATGAAAATCTTCTGTCTTTTCATCTCAAATGAACTTGTTTGTGGAAGTACATGTGAATTGTTGACGAATATGATGTTTTTTCTTGACTCTCATGATTGGGCACTGTCTTTGAGTAATCCTAAGCTGCAGTTGCCTCAAAAGGAAAGGTTCAGGACAAAGCACAACGCACTCTATCCTTTTGAAGTAAGTAATTTGTAATGCAGGTGAGGTCCAAAATGCTCCAGCGTTTGCTCTTCAAATGTTCTTACAGTGTGTTATTTTTGTTGGCAACAGTGCAGACAAGCAAAGATTTCATACACAGGAAAGTTGATAGCGGATGTGTGCTTTCAGTATGACAAGAAAGCTGTTATAAGAGAGTCTTTCAACTTTGGGCAGCTTCCTATCATGCTAAAGGTGATGACTTTCTTAGCATAGGTTCCTCAATCCACTTTGAAAATGTTGTCAATTTTGGTTTGTCGAATATAGCAAACGAGCATTACGCTATTGTAATGGATGAAGCTAGAAAACCTGAATGCAAAGTGTGAATATTGCAACTCATTACTCCTAAAGATCCCCGTTCTTTTATTGTTTGTCTTTTTCATTTCTTTTAGTAGGATATCTATGGCATCTTGCTTTTCTTGTTGCTGATTAATTAACCCGTGTATATAGACAGCGAATGACATGCTTTCAAGTCCTTGGTTGCTTATGCTGACATGTATGTTATATCCAACGCAGTCAAGTCTTTGCTACTTGCGAGGTGCTGATCCAAAAAAATTGGTGTCTCTCAAGGAAGAGTCTGCAGAATTAGGAGGGTAAGTACACTTCTCAGTAATGCGATGTCAATCACTTCAAAATTTAACTTATCCTATAACTTTTGGACTACTTGTATGAAAAGCTTGTATATATTACTAGAATACAAGTGCTGTAGAGAGAGAGAGAGAGTCAGAGAAGCATGATCTAGTTTAGGTCATTCTATCGCGTCATACCTTATAATGTTTCCTGTGTCCCGTCTTCATTTGAGTTATTATACAACACATTCTGTGGAGCTTGAGCTTGCTTGTCTTTTAGTTGACTCCTATGACGTTTCATGCACAAAAACGTAGTTCTGCTTGTGTGCTATCAAATTAAAGTGATTAACACTGAAATATTGCCTAATATGATAAAAGAGATCTGCAAGCCTCAATCGGAAAGCAGAACTGTAATTGTGATTGTCTTCCCTTGGAAGCTATTTCATTAATGATTTTTATGCACTTTTGGTTAGCCAAGATCGTTATGAACCACTTTCTGCTGGGTTCAAGGACACAGAATTACAGTTCCGTCTTATGCGATAAAGTCGGTTTGCTTCTTTGTAGATCTAGTTTTTTTATCAACCATAATTGAGTCTTCTATGTTTATAATGTTAATTGTGGGGCTTGGAGAAGTCATCTAAAAGCCACTACCAATCCCTCCTGCAATTCTTTTTCACTATTCAGCCCTATAATCCTTTTTTTTTTTGTTCTTTTCATTGTATAGGTATTTCGTTTTGAATGGGCTTGAAAGAGTCGCTCGACCTTTGATATTGCAGAAAGCAAATTATGTAAGTCGCATGAGTATTGAATTTGACTGATATCCTTTTATGGTGCAAAAAAAAAAAAAAAAAAAATATAATAATAATAATAATAATAATGCTTCTTGTGTTCAAATATCTACAGAATAGTAAGCACAACACATTTTTTCTTAATGGAAGTAACATTACTTTGTTCCCCTAAAAAAGTGCCTTTCTTCTGATAATTGCTTATCATCACTTTCCTATCAGCCAATGAGTACAGTGAGGGACTCATTTCGTGATCGGCGAGAAGGTTTCACTGATAAGGCAGTTGTGATAAGGTACTTCCGTTAACTTATTCATAAATGGAAGCTCTTACATGTCTTTTAAAGGTATATTGCTTCCAGTTTGAGCTGAGAAAAAATGGATCAAAGAATAGTTGTGCCTCCATCGACCATAACATGGATTTCAGATTATAGATCCAGGCCTCTTTATGACTCTAATGAAGGCGATAAGCTTGTAGGTGGCTTTGATGCGCTGATATGAATAAATATAGTTGCCTGGAGTTGAAAAATCTTAAGCCCTTCGTATTCGTTAGAACATGAACCGCGCACTTGCAACTATGAAGCTTTGTGTTTACTTTATTAATCTTGCTAAATTCATATTGTCCCTTCCTTTGTTGTTAAACCAGGTGTTTGAGGGAGTTCCAATCTTCGTTAACTGATCAATCTTCATTAACAGTTAAACTGTATTACCTTCGTAATGGAAGTGCAAGACTTGGATTTTGGTAAGCTTTCTTAAAATAGTCCTCATAATGATAATTTTCAGGGTTAGATGATGTATTGAACATCTTTGTGCTTCCTGCTGTGCAGGATACAAGGACGTGAGTATCTGGTTCCTGTTGGAATTGTTCTGAAGGTATTACATTGCTTTCTGATGATTGAAGTGGCATTGTTGATTTTTCATAAATTTCAAAGCTCGGTGAAGCATCTATACTTTTTATCTTTCGCTTCATCAGTCTGGCTAGCCTATGAAATTTTTGCACAATGATGATCATTATCCCTGTCTTTAAGAAATAACGTTTAACTGAATTTATTTCGTTTTGGCTTCCATATCTTTTATCTCTTTGTATGCATGATGAATGATGCTTTCTTCTTAGAAGCTTATTGTTTTGTTACTGATTCTGGTGGCAGGCCTTCATTGAGACGTATGACCAGGAAATTTATCAGCAATTGACATCTTGTAATAGTGATGGGCATGAGAAGGGAAAGGGAGCAGTTGGCTCGCAACTAGTTGGTGAAAGAGCGAAAATTATTCTTGAAGAAGTCCGAGATTTGTCCCTTTTCACACAGGATGACTGTCTGCGCCACATTGGTGATTATCATAATCTTGCTGCTTGTCAGAGTTAGTAACTGCGTCAACACTTCGATTGTTTCTCAAGTGGAATCTGTCTTATGCAGGGGAGCACTTCAAACCTGTAATGGAGGGCTTTGAGAATGAAGAACCATTAAATGTAGGATACAAATTTAAAGCTTGGTTGTTTCTATTTTACAATGTTTAAATGGGAAAGAAGGTATGATTTACAAGCATTTGAGGGTCCGTGGATGACTCTCCTCTGACTATTGTGTCCTGTCTTTTCTCTGTAGGTGGGACATGCAGTTCTGAAGAATTACATATTTGTCCATCTCACTAATTATGATGACAAGTTCAATCTGCTTATGTTAGCATTCCCTCCTTTTTCGTTACATTTCTATTTTGATTTTGTTCACCTGTACTGGTTGGTGTTAACTTTACTTCTTTAGCTTTATGCTGCAGAAGCTTTTCTCTCTAATAGACCAAACATCATCACTGGACAACCCAGATGCCTTGCAGAATCAGGAGGTCTTGCTCCCGGGGCACATCATTACTATTTATATGAAGGTTGGAATATCTTTTCATTGCTCGTACAAATTAGATGTAGGAACCAAAATTTTGGATTACGTCCAGGTATGAGGTAACAGAAATGCGGCTAAGTTGTAACTTTATGATGCGGTAAGAGTTGGTGTTTAGTTTCCTGATTAAGACTACAGAGTCAATACCTTTGGCTTAAATGAGAGGCTCAGATGGCTTATCAGTTTGTTCATAGTTCATCTTAGACAATTGGTTGTCTGATCTGTTTTTGCTGGAGTCTTGGCTGAAATTTTATGTCAAGGAAAGTACTGAGGTCAAAAGTGAATTTACTTCTTTACACTTAAAGGTCTTCTTTTATTCATGCATTCATTCTTTTTTTCTTCTTTTGGGAAGGATTCCATCTCATTGAGATGTACCGTTTCTACCCTCTTCTTACAAAAAATGCGTCTTGAAAAATTGCTCGTCTCTAGAAAAGAACAAGAGAGAAGTCCACTTAGACCTGGGAGGACCCTCATTTACTAGTATTGTGATGATTCATTGACTGCTTTTTGAGAACCCGTCTTCCCACAGTCAATGTGTTTGCTTGTCATTGTCTTGATGATTTTTGTTTTTGTTCTAGGAAAAACTTGAAGATTGGTTACGCAAAGCTAAAAAACTTGTTCAAGATGAGCTTGCGAAGCCCAACCGGTTTAATTTTTTGTCAGGTGCGAATAGCCATTTCTCTACCGTATTTTGGACACCGCAATTCTAGTGCACTTATGAGCTGACTGGACTGTATGATTGACTTCCCTACATGGGGTGGGTTTGAAAGCCATATTTGTCAGATGTGGAGTATATCATCACTTTGTTTCCTGCGTTTTATTGACACAAAATCTAAACTGTCCTCATAGGTGTTGAGATTCTTTCTAACCAGTATGTCCGAGGCCAAATTTCTTTCATTACACTCTTCAGATATGAGGATTTGAATTTCTATCTTGTGTATACATCGTCATTTGTCACTGAGATGGTTCTATAAATTGGCAAAGTTGACCTTGAAATATTTGTTGTACTAATGATTGGCTGACACAATGTAGTACCGGATGTCAAGAAGATCATTGATAGAAACCCGTCCTCCCAGATCAGCTCTGCAGTGGAGAATATGCTAAAGACTGGAAGGTTGGCGACTCAAACTGGTCTTGATCTGCATCAGGTATTGCCTTACCGTGAATCATCCATGTGTTTTGCCCAGTCTTGAAGGATCTTTAATATGATTAACCCCTTTAAAAATCAGTTTAGGCTTATATTAGCAAATAGTTGTAATGCGTTGGTTGCTACAAATATATAACATAAAAAATACACCTTTTCCTGGGGAATATCGCCTGAGGAAACTGAGGAGCATAACACTTTTTTTGTGAGTGCAATATTAAAGTTTCCTGTATAAAATCTGATTCGTCATAGTTTTCTGAAAGTGTCATCTACCGAGCTTTATTTAAATCAGGTTCAGAATGTAAAACTGATAGCTTCATCAGCTACTTCTCTAGAGTAGGGTCTGATGGCCGAGTATTATGACAAGTTCTTGTGGATTATGATGATTGATTTCTTGCCCCCTGTTCTGCAGAGGGCTGGTTTGACTGTCCAAGCTGAGAGGCTAAATTATCTGCGGTTTCTTTCTTTCTTCCGAGCTGTTCACCGAGGGGCTACCTTTGCTGGTCTTCGTACAACTAGTGTCCGGAAACTATTACCGGAGTATGCGTGCTTAGCATTTAATTCGGCTTATATTAGGTGCTCTTATATGCTATCACTCATTTATTTAATTCCCTTTTGTTAGGTCTTGGGGTTTTCTTTGCCCTGTGCACACTCCTGATGGGGAGCCATGCGGGTTGCTGAACCATATGACTTATTGTTGCCGTGAGTACTTGCTTCATTGAACTATTCAAGTTACTAAGCAATAGCAACTTCTATTTGTTGACCTGTTGATCAATAACATGAACTATTTTTATTAATGATTTTACAAAGGGATTCTTTTTTACCCCTTTTTATTTCAGCCATTACTGTCGTTGTATTTTGGATTCTCACACTGTTTTAGGCAAAATAACAATTGAATGTGGCTTATGGAATCAACAATGGGGTTTTTTCATCGATTGAGTTTTACTAAGATACTTTATACTGGCCTTCTAGTTGTTCCTGTTGTATGTAGTGGTCCTTAAAAGTGATTATTTTGGTATGTCAGGGGTGACATCCTTCTTTGATCCGGAAGGGGGTGTTAAGGACTTCTTTGAAATAAGAAAGTCTATTCTTGGAGTTCTGTCTGGACTTGGAATGGCCCCTTCATTCCCCAGGCTTGCTGCAAGCGGCCCACCCCAAGCTCTTTCTGTTCTGTTAGATGGCCGGGTTGTTGGTTCAATACGTTCGAGTGAAGTTGAGAAAGTCGTTAGTAAGTTAAGAAGATTGAAAGTGTCGGCTGCTTCAATGGTTCGTCTTCTAGAAACTCTCGCCATCTCTTTCTGTCTGACAGTTGCTTTAGTTTTTCCTGACATAAGGTTTGGTACAGATCCCAAATGATCTTGAAGTGGGGTATGTTCCTCTAAGCATGGGTGGGGCGTACCCTGGTCTATTCCTATTCACTTCTCCTTCCAGATTTGTCCGCCCTGTTAGAAATATTACTATTCCTCCGGAGGATGGTCGAGACATTGAACTTATTGGACCATTTGAGCAGGTAAATACCAGATATCATGACCCTGTATGATGTAGCTAGGAGTTCTAGGGAGCTGACTTGCTTGTTTCATATCACATTAGGTTTTCATGGAAATAAGATGCCCAGATGGTGGAAATGGTGGCCGGAATGATGCGTTTCCAGCGACCCATGAAGAAATTCATCCCACTGCAATGCTTAGTGTTGTTGCTAATCTCACTCCTTGGTCTGATCATAATCAGAGCCCACGAAACATGTACCAGTGTCAGGTTATTAGGAATTTTCTTTTGGCCTCTGTCCCTGTCCTGCTAAGTGGTCGTGCATCTGATGTTCCAACATGTTTTGTCTATGACAGATGGCCAAACAAACAATGGGATATTCTTTGCAGGCTCTACGCTACCGTGCAGATCAGAAGCTATATCATCTTCAGGTACAGTTTGTGGCAATATCTTATATTGCTCCTGACTTTGAAGTTAAAAAATTATTCCGGGGAGTTTCTATGAAATTTCACACGTGGTGAGGGCATATCTTTCTTTCTCAATTGGATTTGTCGACCGAGTTAGAATTAATTTTTGAACGAAAGGGTTGCTTATTGAAATCTGATGCTCTTCATTTGTAGAAGAGGTTTAGGTGGCTATCACAATTAGCCCTATGTTTGGAACGATGATAGCCCATATAGAATGCATTTTATGCGGGGAAGTCTTTTTAGGTTAGCCTTGAACCATGTTTAAAACACTTGCTCCATGTTCTTTAAAGATAGTACAAGGGAGAAGAAAAACACAAAGGAAACTTTTTGTGGGTTTATCTATGTACTGTGCATCTAACTACCTAGGCTTTCCCCATTCGGATAATAGAGCCTTTATGGCCAGTACATTCAGGGTATGGGTTCATGGTTCAAAGTTAGGGTGATCCTTATCTTGTATGAGTGAGTTGGTGTTACAATTCAACTACTGGGGAACGTGCTTGTTCCATAGTCAAAGAACGACCGAGAAGTCTTCTGCTGGATCTTAGTTGTTCTTAGACAGACTCCTGATGTAATACTCAATAAGAAGGAATAGCAGCTTAAGTTATTTTGTTGAGCTTGAGCAGAAGTTTTTGCTTCTCTCAGTTTACTTTCTTGGACGGTAGATCTCACATCTTGGCGCTCTTTTTTCTTTCGCTTACTCTTCTATAGTGACGACCTCTGAATATTTTGCAGACCCCTCAAACTCCAATTGTACGTACAAGTACATATGCCAAGTACTGTATTGATGAGTATCCCACAGGGACGAATGCAATAGTTGCCGTGCTTGCTTACACAGGGTAAATAACTTGATGAACAGTTCAAATTGTTTTCCATCAAATGGATTGCGATTAGCTAACATACTTACCTACACAGATATGATATGGAGGATGCCATGATTCTCAACAAGTCTTCTGTAGAACGTGGAATGTGTCATGGAACAATCTACCAGGTTTTGCTTAGATGTTTGACTTTGAGGCCCACAATATAAATTTGTTGCTTTCATGCCTCCTAAATATCACAGTTCTGGATATGAGTGGTTTTCTCACTGCTGGTTCCCACTTTGTTATCCTGTTTCTTTTATCTATTCTTGTGCTGTCTGTTGTTATTTCTGCTACTTTAAGAGTTGCCATAACAATATCAAATCAATGAGGTTTGCAGACGGTATACAGAAGAGTAACACATTCTTAAGAGGTTGTTTGATTGTGTGCATTTGGGAGGACAACATTTGCAATAGCATGCAATTAGGCGAATGTATCACTTTTCGTTGACGCTTCAAATGCATCAAACTACTGCAATTTGAAGTACAATATCTGAAATGCACTCTAGGAAATTGGAGAGCCCGCATGTCTTTTCATTCTTTTGGCACAATTTCTTGCACAAATGCACTGAATCAGACAGTTGTTTTGCAAATACATTTCATATAATAGTATGCAGTTGAGACGATTAATATCAATTTACAACTATACCGAACCCAACACGCCCTGAAGTACTTTGTTTAGAATGGATTTCTGCATTGGCATGTATTCTGGGTGTTGTTGACTTTCAGTCATTGGTCATACTGCTTTACCTGTTTCAATGCAGACTGAAACTGTGGATTTGACTGAGGATAGGACAGCAGGTCAGATGTTTATGAGAAGTAGCAAAGGTCCTAAATTCCTTGATGTGGATGGACTTCCATATGTTGGTCAGGTTGGTCCTTATTATTATTTTTATTTTTGGTCTGTCACGGGTATTAATTACTTCTATCCATAATTCTAATGACCAACATATATTGTGCCAGATATTGCAACCGGATGAGCCTTATTGTAGCTTCGGTAATACAATAGAACCCAAAACAAGAGTCTTTAAGCGAAAGGGTTCAGAAACTGTGGTTGTTGACTATGTTGCTGTGGATACAAAGAAGAAGAAGCTTCAGAAGGTTAGTGTATACAGTTGCATCCAAATTACTGTTGTACTGGTTGATTCGTAGGGGTCGTTTGGATGGATCAATCTAGAAATGAGACAATTTGACCAATTGTCTCATTTTATAAACGAGGCAATTAAAACGAGTCAATTGGAATTGCCTTTCTCATAGAATACTTCAGAAGGTTAGTGTATACAGTTGCATCCAAATTACTGTTGTACTGGTTGATTCTTAGGGGTCGTTTTGGTGGATCAATCTAGAAATGAGACAATGTGACCAATTGTCTCATTTTATAAACGAGACAATTAAAACGAGTTAATTCGAATTGCCTTTCTCATAGAATACTTCAGTATTCAGTTAGACGTACTAAGTGTGTTGTTTCATGAACAGGCAAACATTCGTTTTCGCCATCCAAGAAACCCAATCATTGGTGACAAATTTAGCAGCAGGCATGGACAAAAGGGTGTTTGCTCCCAGTTATGGCCTGATATTGATATGCCATTTTCTGGTGCTACTGGCATGCGTCCTGATCTAATCATCAACCCCCATGCATTTCCTTCGAGAATGACAATTGGAATGCTTTTGGAATCTCTTGCTGCTAAGGTATGTGACAAATTGGAAAGTGAATTGTGATCGCAATAGTTGATTGTCTAGCTTCTGACTGTGAGTACCAAATGGATTAAATATCGACATTCATGTTTCAGGGTGGTGCTTTGAACGGGAAATTTGTGGATGCAACGCCATTTGCAAGTTCGGTGAAGAAAGATGATGCAGGATGCACTAAATCCGAACCTAAATCTCTCGTTGATGATCTTGGGGAAGCACTAAAGTCTCATGGATTCAATTATCACGGCGTGGAGGTGCTATACAGTGGGGTATATGGCACAGAGTTGACTTGTGAAATCTTCATTGGTCCAGTTTACTATCAACGTCTTCGCCACATGGTTTCAGACAAATTCCAGGTATTGTTTGCAATAAAGCATGGTCCCTTTTTGGATTATCTGTGTGCGGAAGTTCCTGCATAGATAAGTATCCCTTATGTTGAAGCTGCAGACATGACTAGGGATCCTTGCTATCAAAATCTTTGTTTTCCAGGTGAGGTCAACAGGAGTAGTCGACCAAGTCACGAGGCAGCCGATAAAGGGAAGGAAACGTGGGGGTGGTATCCGTTTCGGAGAAATGGAACGTGATGCTATGATTGCTCATGGAGCCGCATATTTGCTGCATGACAGGCTGCATACTTGTTCGGATTACCACATAGCAGACGTTTGCTCTATCTGTGGCAGTGTTCTGACTACCACATTCATTCAACCACACAAGAAGATGGTGAGGGTGGGTGGATTCGGACAAGTGCCCCCACAAAATCCGAAGAAGGTGCTCTGCCAGGCTTGCAAGACAAGCAAGGGCATGGAGACTGTCGCGATGCCATACGTGTTTAAGTACCTGGCTTCTGAGTTGGCGTCCATGAACATCAAAATGACACTCAACTTGAGCGACGGAGCTTGAGCACTGGCAGGTGAGAATGTAACTTGGAACGGAGTTTTGTTTCGTTAGTAAGGCGATGTTGGAGTCATCCCTTCGCCTCAGATGTGATAAACATTCTCAACCGGGTTCATGCAACCATTCTTGAATCAGACAGCATGCACGACTGAGGGCTGAGGCGCTGTACATGCGCATACACTGGCGGAGATATTGGACTACTCAGCTTGTTGTAGGAAGTAAATTTTATCGAGAAAAGAGTTGGTTGTAATATGTTTTTGCTTCTATTTGTCACCTTGGTCGCTCTCCAGTTTTGGAATCTGAACAAGCGGTTATTATTATTCTAGCAATTGGTATCATATCAATTTATAAGATTTGTCTATAACAAATCAACTAATGTTGTAATTGCTGTTGGTTATTCGAGTTCCTTTAACCACCAACACCAAGCACACATCATTCAAATTGAAAGGTTAGTTGAACTAATAGTAGTAGTAATGTGAGAATATTAACGGCTCCATTACTCTCGTTCGAATGTGTGGCCATCCACTATAAAATGAAGAAAAAATCAGGTACCAATTTGTTTAACCGGTAAACGATAGGTAGCAAATAGCCAATAGGATGCCACATACCTATAAACTACAAAATCAAGAGGGGGTGAACCCCCCCAGACGGCATCTTCGGCCGTTAGCCCGTTAAGAGAAACAACCCGAGAAACCTAAAGGCGCCGTAAAATCTGCTCCGAGGTTCATCTGCGCCTTGCTTCGGACGTCTAGTAGGTATGTTTCGTCCATTTTCTACTCTTCTCATTCCCTACTTTCGTCATCCAAAATACTCCTTTCGCTGCCTGGTTCGATCGTTAAGCGCTGGTCACTCGCGTTGATCGGTCACCGGTGATTCGATCATGTGAACTGAAACCCTAATTCGATTATCATGTCTGGTTGTTTGAATGATTTGCTTTCAACCCTAACGTCATAGGTAAATCATCTTGTGACGCTTCCTCCTCGATTTTGTTCAGTCTTTATGTGATCTTTGCTGGGTGGCCTTGGTCATGGAGCTAATATATGAAATGAACTTTAGTTTTCTTCATTTCCATTGGTTTCTTATTATATTTGTTTCTTTTCTTTCTTTAGATTAGTACTATGACATGCTCCGGACTTCTTTGCTTGTGCATGCGCTCTGCAGGAGTTTTGTATTAATGCTTGGAGGGCTCTTATCTTATTAGTCCTACGATCATGGGTTTCGATAATGAATGCATTCCGAATATTCAATCTCTAGCCGGAGAGTATTTCTGTCCCATTTGCCGTCAGCTTGTCTACCCAAATGAAGCATTACAATCTCAGTGTACTCACCTTTATTGCAAAGCATGCTTAAAGTACGTTGTGAGTACCACGCGCGCTTGTCCATACGATGGCTACTTGGTGACTGAAGCAGATTCCAAGGTTCGTTCTGACACTAATAGAGCATTTGTACTGTTTCTTCTGATCATGTTATGCACTTAAATTATAAATTCTTTTTCTGCATTTCATGCTGCAGCCACTACTGGAATCAAACAAATCACTTGCTGAAACTATTGGCAAGATACAAGTGCTTTGTTTATACAATAGGAGTGGATGCACTTGGCAAGGTTCTCTATCTGAGTGCACAACTCATTGTTCTGGATGCGCCTTTGGTAATTCTGCTGTTGTGTGCGATAGGTGTGGAGTTCAATTAGCGCATCGCCAAATCCAAGAACATGGACAAACTTGTGCTGTGAGTCTTTTAGTGACTTCCTTGTAGTTATACGAAAATAATTTTATTTTCCTCTTCTTTCTTAGTTTATTGACTAGTGTATTGGTTTTTAATAACAACAGGGTGTGCAGTTGCAAACTCTAAGTGCCGATGGTTCTCAGGTTGCTGCTATGGCAGTGCAGCCTAATGATAACTCTCAGGTCTCTGTTCAGGCTTCTCAGTCTAAAACGTCCTCCACATCTGCACAAGAAATGACCATTCAATCCAACATGTCATCGTCAACCCCAGCTGCCGGACAGGCTTCCATGCCAACTTCAGAACAGTGGTTTCAACAGCAGCAGCATTATCAGCAATACTACCAGCAGTATCCTGGGTATGATCCATACCAGCAATATAACCCGTATCAACAGCAGGCTGCTCAACTGTACCAGCAACCTCATGTGTATACCCAGCCTTCAAATTCTCTAACGATGGTTCCACCTCAACTGCCAATTCAACACCCTCCGGCGCAGGCTCAGGCACAATTACAACCGCAATCTCAAACTCAATCACAACCGCTGATGCAACTCCCAGTTGCTGCTCAACCCCAAAATCTAGCACAAATGGAGTTACAGCAACAAACTCAACCTCAGTTTCAAGCACAGTTGCACCCGACTCCTCATGTTCATTTGCATCCACAGCCTCAGCTTCAGGCCCATGCTCAAGCCCAAACAGTTCAGCCGCAGCCACTAGTGCAAATGCCTCATCAGCAACCACCTTCACGGTCACAAAATGCTGAATCCCAAATTCAGCTTCTGGCACATTCTCAACTTCAACATGTCCCTCAGATTCAGTCTACCTCACAATCACAGGCTCAAATGCATGGACACCACCATCAACCACCGATTCAACAACACTTTTCTTCTCAGCCTAGCCAATCTGGAAATCCCAGTCTTCAAACAGTGACCAGTCATCAGTCTTATCTACAACCGAAGTCTCATCAGCCTATGCAGTTGGCCGCCCCGCAACATCCTGCTCATATGTATGCCCAAGCTGTACCACAACAACACTCTCAACATACTGCCCAAACACCGAGTCAGTTCCATCAAAACCCTCTCCTGATACGGCCTTTACAATCTCATGGTATGCCTCCGAACCTACAACTAACAGGTAGTTTGCCTTCATCCAGTCAAGTCTCAAACACCCTGCCTGGTCAACCGAATCCGTTGCTTGCTCAGGCCCATCAAACTGGACTTCCGATTCACCAGAGACCTGTAGCACTACCAGTTCAGCAGCCATTTTATGAGCAGTTTGTGCAAAACCAGCAGCAATTTTCTGGGCAGCCCTTAGGCCAGAATCATTTGTCGCAGCAGATTGCTAATACGCAGCAACAGATGTATTCACAGTCACGATTGAACCCTCAGGCTGTGCCTCAACAAGTCCCACGACCACAAACACACCAGAATACTGCATCACCTTATGGATTGCAGAAGCAGCAGGTTCAAAATCATACAGGGAAGCCTGTGGTGCCTCCTCATGGAGTCTCAGATAAACCACATCTAGAACAATCCGGGGCTAGTTTGAGGCCAATGCTCGATGGACTAGCTGATTCGGTGGCTGATAAAAGTGTTAAAGTGGATGCATCAACTCAGGACAATGCTAATACAGATTCTGGTACCGTCTCTATCCCTGCAGCTACAGCTGGTATAACCATTAAATCTGAAAGCAACTTGAAGTCGGAGGGTGATGATGATAAATCCATAGGTGAAACCAAGGATGCTCTGGGATTACATGCAGCTAATAATCCGGATGTTTCAGTTAGGAGGGTGAAGGAGGAGCCCGCAGAGGGTGATGGAAGTAAAAAAGATGTTCCTGATGCTGATAACAAACAAGAAGAGAGGTCTATATCACTAGAGAATAAAATGCTGAAGACAGCATCGTTAAAAGAGGGTCTCAGGCATGAGAAATCGCCTTTAACATCACATGATGGAAATCTGCTTTCCCAAAGTTCTTCTGCCTTCCCAAATGACCAGGTAACTTTTCATAATCAGCATGGTCCATCTGCTCTTCTTCGTAAGCATACTGGGCCTCCATTATTTCATGGAACTCCTGGAGAATTACACCCTGCACCCCTTGGGCATCCTACTCAACTTAGGCCACCTGGGCCGGGACAGATAAGTGGCTTCCATGGTCCAAGATCAGCTTCAGCCTTTCCTGGTGGACAGGATTATTATGGTTGTCCTCAGGCACCTGATTCTCAGGGCCATTGTGGTCCTCCAAGGCTAAATATAGGAATGTACTCAAATGCAGCTGGAATGGAGGGGTTTCCAGGGCCAGGATTTGGCCCTTCCTCAATCGTTGGGTTGCGGAATGAAAGACTTGGTCCTACTGCAGATGATCATTTCCACCCCTTTACTCAAGACCCAGCTCGTCGTGGTGTCGATCGAGGACAACTGGACGACCTCAGGCACTTCTCCAGGCCTTCCCGTTTTGAAGCTGAGGGTATTTCGGAGTTTGGAGGTCACTTTTCCAGGACTGTTGATCGAGGTCTACACAGTTTTAGAGGTGATATGGCACCAAGACCACTTGAAAATGGATCGTATCGGACAACTTACGATGCTGGCCTTAAAATGGACTCTGTAGGTGCTCATGGTCCTTCAAGACACTTTCCTCCATTTAATCACGACATTATATTGCACCCCAGTGATGTTGGAGAAGCTCCCATTGGTTTTCCTGGCAAGCCTTTTTGTAGACAGGACCCTGCTAGAACTGATCCAAATTTACTTGGTCCTGACATTGGATATCATCTACGTCATGTACAGGGTTTGGACTCAAGGAGTCCTGGCAGGGATCACCTATCATCACGTGGATTTGGCCCCCTTCATGGCCTAGATGATATTGGTGGTAGGGAGAGCAGGATATTTGATGGCTCAAGTGGCAGATCTTTCCAAGGTAACAGGTTTCCAGTTCTCCCAGCCCATTCACGTAGGGACGAGTTTGATGGTCCTGGGGGTTTAAGAGTTTCTGATCATTATAGGTTTAGTGAATTCATCGGCCAGGACAGTATGGCTAACCACTTAAGGGGTGAGAACTTTGGGGCTCATAAACTGCCTCCTCATTTGAGATTTTCAGAACAAGCTGGTTTTGGACCAATCCCTAATCAACCAGTGAGGGAATCACATACGCCTAGGAACTTTCGTCATGCCCTGTTTGGTGAGCCTGGCTTTCGCAGTAGCTTTCCCCATAAGGTTTTTCCTGGTGGTGATGCGAACTATACAGTTAAGTGCTGTTTTACTGATACCTTTATGTTTCTATGGCCATGAACTTGATAATATATATGTAGCTGTTTTACTTACTTTGTAAATGTAATTGTCACCCCTGAAATCTGTTGTATTTTATTATACAGGGTGAACTGGATTCTTTTGACAATTTAAGAAAGAGGAAACCATCAAGCATGGGATGGTGTCGTATATGCAAAGTTGACTGTGAGACTGTTGAAGGGCTGGACCTGCATTCACAAACTAGAAGCCATCAAACAATGGCATTGGATATGGTTGCAACAATCAAGCAGAATGCAAAGAAACAAAAATTGTAAGCTATTATAAGCTTATAGTTTTAGCGTGTGGCAATTGTCATTCTTGTAACCACATCTCATTTGTTGTATTGCAGGGTGCCAAGCAATAATTCCACACTAGATGATATAAGCAAGTCGAGAAATATCGTTTCTGATGGACCTGGAGATAAGCTATGAGGCGGGTGCTTTCCTGAGATATGGACAACTTTAACTTCAGTGTTCTATTGTTGGCAACGTAGTCTTGGTCAGCACTTGGTGATTGGACCTTTACAGCCTCTTTTCTTCTCTCAGGGCGACCTTCACCATTCAGGTGATTTCTTGTTAAGAAGATGGTGCCATGGACCTGAAGTCCATGTCAGTTAAGTCTGATGGTTTTCTTTTATGAAGTTTTATTATTGAACTGGGAATTAATTCAGACTTAGTTGTTAGCTCTGTTGTTATATATTTAGCAGTAATCAATTTTAATATATTTGCTAAGCTGAGTATTTATGTGCTAACAAATATTCATTTGCTGCCGGATTTTTTTATATTTATTAGGATTTTCATACGAGGAAATGGGTTGGTTGGTGGGGTCTAGAAAAAGAATGTCGTTTCATGTAGTTGCTTAGCCTTGAACAGTGCAACTAGATTGATAAAGCTTGGATAACTTAACAAAGAATGTCTGCAAAATCTCTACTATTGCAGTTGTAGAATGTGAGTCTTAGCTGTTTGAAGCTTTTAGAATGATTTCTACATGGTTCTTAAGAAAATCAAACGTTTAGTGTTTCCATTTGTCATGGCTTGTATACAAATTTAATGTTAATTATTTTACCAACAGTAGTCTTTGGTTATGAAAACCTGCACGAATGCAAGTTTGGGAAAATTCAATAGATTAGGTAATCTGAAGGCGGAGATTATAGCTCTAGTAGATTTGGAATTATTGCGGTTTCTTAATTATTTCGAATCAATGCCATAATACTCTGTATCGGCACTCACTCCTGACTGTAAATCTTGATAACTTAGGTTTCTACAAGACATCTATTGATAATGCTAACATTGTACTTGTTGCTGCAAGACGAGAATTTTCTGCTAGATTTATTATTTCTGGAATAATACTCCCATATTTCTTAAGATGTGTTCTTGTTGATTTGTCTTCTATTTCTGGTGAAATTTCTTTCTTATAATAGATTTTTCGATACCGTTGTCTTTTCTGGGAGAAGCAGCAACAAAAGACTGAAAGTAGTGGGAACGAACATCTTTATTTGCTGTGGTAAGATTGGGTCAACAGTCAGATGTAAGTAGTCAGACTTTTATTGCCAGTATTCATTCTTTTTCATTTCTGCTTTATCAGCACATCTTCTATTCGTGTATTCATTAACAAAATCGTTTTAGGATCAGTATCAAGTTGAGAAATGATGTGCCTAAGCTTGCTGTAAATTTGTTAAGAGAAGTAAGGCTGCTGGAGCTTATGCCAACCGGTAGAAATCAGGGGGTTTGATTGATAGTGTTAGGAAGAATGCCCATAGGTGATAAAGTACGGTAGCTCACTTCATGATATAAGGATAGATAAGCCTATGAAATCATAAGGAATAACTTCTGCACAAGCTTTTAAAATTCTTTTCATGTGTGATGTGATCCTAAATTCCTAATACGATAGAACCATCTAAAAGCAAATCCAATTCTAATAATAACTCCTGGCTAATTCTAATTTCTTTAAAAGACATTAAACATCTAATGAAAACTGCTGATATTCTGAAACAATAAGGAAGAATGTAAAGAGAAAAACAACCGAAGGAAAGCAAAAATTTGCGCATAGGGGTGAGCAATGGGAGGGTTTAGAGGTTATTGAGCTCAAACTCACGAAAAGCACCCAAGCATACACTTCTGGATGGATAGTGTGGGTATGGTAGGGGGTGACAAGAGGCCAGTTGGGTTTGAGAGGGTTCTAAGGGTTGTAATGACCCACTCGTCTCATACCCAAATTCCAGTGGGTGACCTATTTGTTCATTCCTATCTGCACCCATCTCATTTTACGAAGATCAAAATGAAGGAACCATTGATAATTACTCTGTTGATTTCTGTCTACTGCTTGTTTCAGATGTGGTTCAGATATTTCTTGAATGCCAGCCAGCTGTGACTATATATCTATTTTTAATTCTTACGATTAAACTGATTGCTGGATGGTACTTGGTAGACTGAACAGTACTAGTACTAGGCATGGAACACCAGTTGCATGTGCATGAATATGATTACATCCGAACCGTCAGGTTTCTACACTTCCTGAATTTCTGTAAATTCATAGAGCGGTAGATCTTGGAACTAGGATTCTTATAACTGTCAATGCTGGTTAGTCGATGCAGCTAATCCACTCCCCTGCGATAAACAAATGTTACAGGCAGATGGAATGTTTTGGAACCATGTTTTCACCTCTATTTGCCTTGTTCCTATTTTCTCCTCCCCTCAGTAAAGGGATAAACATTGGGTCCTAGCTAGCTGTGTAGGGCATGCGGGAATGGCTGATTAACTTAGCTCCATGCCTTGGCCTTGAGGTATATCACTCAGCTTCACTATATAATCACCATCACGATCCATTATGCTGCAAATGTTATAAACATCAGATGGTCGTTGCTTGTACTGCAAGTTTGTGTAAGGTAGATACGTGTAGTTGTTCCTCTGCTCTGTGGTGGGGCTTGCTGGGAGGTTTCTTGTTGTGAAAATCAATCGAGGGGCATTGCTTTGGAGTTTGGAGCTAAAGGATGATTGATGCTGGACGAATATCCTCGGCTTTGATTCTTCACCTCCGTTGTTTCTTTCTTCCAGGTTTGGTCTCTGCTGCTTATTTAGATATATCAGTATCATATAACAGATCGAACAACACTTCTTCGTAATATGTCGGTAGCATTTGTTTCTGTTTTCGAATTGCATTCTCTCTTCATCTCGCTCTAGTCCTGCTTCGAGTGAGTAAGTTTCTGTATCTATAGGCTAATCGATGATATAGGCCTGGCATGCGAAAGTTACTGGAGGTGGAAATGAAATGGAGGAATTCATGTCTTCATTTCACGTATAAAATTGGGTTGATTGCACCGGTCTAGTTGAAGTTAGGTAACTCGTCTAGTTGTTATTTTGGATATGACCCTGAGAGATGAAAAACTTTATGGCCATAAGAAATTCACATGGTAAACAGACTCTTGTGGATTAGTGCTTGTCATACTAGTATGAGAAGCACTGAAGGTACTTAGCATGAATGGTCGCACGGGTTTGACCTTTGTACGAGACGGTTACAAATGTTTCACTTTGCATGATTAGGTAATATGAGTTTCAACGTAACAAAAAAGTCACTTTCGTCTATTTCCACACCCTTTGACTCCCTATTGATTGGTACAGGCGATTTCGATTTCGATTTCGATTCGCTGTAGTGGGTTACCGTTTGAAGATCTAAAATCAAGCCTTCATAATGTGGTTTTCCTTCCTTCGGGATTCATCTCAATCCACACATTAACATATACAGACCCCTTCCTCCCCCTCAAAACTTCCAAATTTTATCGATGAAAAAAGCTACAACGACGGCAATTCCACCTTGGAGAACCAAATCGACCAGAAGCCGAACAATCTCACATCGAGATCAAGCTCCTCAAGGCGGCTGATGAGGACCCTATGATCTTACACTTTAGACCCAACCACCCTAAGTTGCCTGTTAGAACTACGGTTCTTTAGGGTTTCGAATAGGATTGAGAATTGGGATTTGGGAAGAACATAATTGGGGATTTAGGAATTTGGAAGAAGAAATTAGGGATCGAGAAGAAGAATGGCTGACAACCTTTAGGGGTAGGTGACGAATTTGAGAGAAAAGGGATTATGGTTTTGATAGAGATAATTTACTAATATTTTTCTGTAAACCCGAAAGTACATATACTGGAAAACCCTAATGCTAAACCATTTGGCCACACTTAGCCGCCTACCACTACTACTAATAATAATAATACTACTAATTAAACAACGAAAGTAATAGGGCCGAGCCCTAATCCCTTTATTTCTAGCAATCCCCTCCTTTTAAAAGCGACCTTGTCCTCAAGATTTCATTTAACTTCACCAACTTTCCACACTTCTATTGCGATCCCCCGACGTAGTTGCGTCATTTTCTTTCGCTTCCTCTTCCAATTCCGATCAAACACTCGAGCAATCCTCTTGGCACAAACAAGTCCAGCCGTGGAATCCACCGTGGCCTCCGTTGTCCGCATGTGCTCTCGCATTGCAGCTCGAAGTCTTTCTGCCGTGGCGATGAGATCGAGTGCAAGGAGGTCTAGCAAGTGGCCACATCTCTCTCGTCCTTCTGCCTTCTGTATAACTCCTCCACGTGACTTGGCTTTGGAAGCCTTTTTTGCAACTTGTCATGCTCATACATTGGCCACCCAACCCTTGCCTTTGTTCATGCACGTCCACCTTAAAAGGAAAACAATCCCCCTTCATGCCTTCACAATAAACTAAATTAAAAAAAAAATAACAACAAAATAAAAAAATCAAATTTATATCACCATTCACCCCTATAAAAGAACTGAATTGCCAAATGTCGCTCTTAAAATTGCTAACGGTCGTCCTAACTCTAATGATAAATGACTTATATATCCCCGATAAAATTTCAAAATTCAAACAAACCAAACAATCCCTAACCCCTCAAACTGAACCCCTCATATGCCTTCTTCGCGAATCCTTCTCGACGCACCAGTTCGTCGGCGTCTTTCCCGCCGTCGTCGCCCGTTCTCTAACGAAATTTCCAAAAAAACGCTCAACCTAAGGCAAGTTACGTTTGGTCCATGGTGCAACCGCAACTCACTTGCGGTTGGTCCATGGTGCAACTGCAAGTGAGCTGCGGTTGCACCATGGACCAACCGCAGCTCATTTGCGGTTGCACCATGGACCAATCGCAAGTGAGTTGCGGTTGGCCCATGGTGCAACCGCAGGTGAGCTGTGGTTGGCCCATGGTGCAACCGCAAATGAGTTACGGTTCCCTTTTTTTTGTTTTTTGTTTTTTTCAATTTTTGAGTGAACTTTACCGATTCAGAGTCGCTAGTCATGATCCAGACATCATATCGACGATTCCAACTCCAGAATGACGATGATGGATTCTCTCTTTTGAATAATGTTTTATTTTCTTTACTAAGTGGTGTTTGTTTGCTAAAGGAAGAGTAAAGAAGCTAAAAGGTTAAATTTGTAACTTTGATGTTTTTTAGGGCGACATTTAGCAATTTTAAGAGTGACCTTTAGCAACTCCCTAAAAGAACATTTCACATAATTTGGAGGTATTATGGTAGCATTACCAGATTCTTAACTTACCGTTGCACCATATCATGATAATGTTTTAAAATGATGTATAAAAATTAAAAATGGTGAAATACAATGTATAATGAAAAAGGGGGTAGATTAACTAATTTTCGAACAACTCCCAACTTGACGATACAAATCATAGGCATACAAGACCAGAACGTATAACACGACATTTTCTTCTATTTTATTGTGTTGTCATTCATTTTTCTTAACCCAACGTTTTGTTCAGAAAGAGCTTTGTACATTTTTGCCGACGATTGATTGTTACTTACTTTACTTTTCCGAAGATGGTGTCTTATGCAATCCGCTAATCTATTGATTCTTCTCCAAATGCGAGGGGCATATATGGAAATGATGGAGGCGGGACTGTGTATGGAAAGAACACATTCACAATGAAATCAAAGCGCCACTCCGATGCTATTGCTGCTGCATGCAAATACCCTCTTCTGCATAAGTTCCGGCGCCGGCGAGAGTTGCCCTGTGGGGGATCGATTATGTAACAGTAATAGTGAAGTTCGTTGGTGTTCACCCCATTCACTTGCTTTGCGTATCTCACTCTCTCTCTCTCTTTACAAGTGGTAGCTTATCTATTTCTTTGTAATTATACGAAGTTGAATTTGTCACCGATAATGAGCTTCAATAGAAAGTCGATAAATAGTCGAACTGCCGATAAAATGGCATTTTGTGCCACTAGATGGACAACCTTGTTGTACCTACTAGTAGTATAAGTACAAGAAAAAATTGAAAAGGAGGAAATGGCCACTCGGACCTCCTCTAAATTGCGCCTCCACAGCTATGCGCGACCTCCCGCTCACTAACGTTCCGAATCAACGTTTGACAATCCCCACAGAAGTTTGCCACAACAAAACCATGTGCTAGGCACCAATTGATTGCATCGTGTAAAGCCAACAATTTCATAATGAAGGGGTCAACGATAACTGGGTAATGTTTGCCGAAGGCAAATAGCAAAGCGCCATTTTCTGAAAAGCCGGCGAACCCGACTGCGCCTCCTGATCCCTGCCGCCATGCCCCGTCAACTCGGACAAGGATTCCTCCCGCCGGACAAGTGCCATCTTGCTGAGATCGAGAGCCCATTCCCGAGTTGGGTTCTTGACCATTCCGAAGGCGAGGTCCTCTGTGCAGTGTGAGCGGCGTAGTTGCCGCGTGTCATTCGTCCACTTTAACGCGTATCTGTCGCAATAGAGTTGGTCCCCTATATTGTATGCGCTTATGGATCGCCCAACAACGTAGAAAGATGACAATTAAAGAACAGTGTACTCCAACAATCTGCATGGGGAAGAGACGCTAACCTTGTATGAACAAGGCCTAAGCCAGCTAGGTCCCACAACTCGACGACAACCCGGCAGTGAAGGAAGGAGTGGAAAATGCTCTCACTGTCGTTGCTACAGATTGGGCAAGTGTTGTCGTCCACCAACCGCTTATAGTGTAGAACTGCTCGCACCAGTAAGAAGCCTTGCACCACCCTCCAACAGAAGAATTCGAGTAACGACCCTATCGAGTTTCAACGCCATCCACTTGTCACGACCCTGTACCTTTGTTTTAAGAAAGTGCATGACTTCTTGTCCAATTAAGATGTTATCAGTAATAGAACGACCATGAACAAATCCATTTTGATTCAAGCTTACCAGGTTAGGAAAAATCACACTAAGACGACCAACAAGAATCTTGGCTATAATTTTATAAAAACCCTGACATAAACTTATTGGCCGAAGTTGATTCATCGAATCTGCATTGGGGACCTTGGGCATGAGAGTGATGCACGTGTGATTGAAGCTATGCAGTATGCGACCAGAAGCAAAAAAGGATAGAACCGCTACACTAATATCCTTGCCAATGATTCCCCAATGGGTTTGGAAGAATCCTGCAAAGAAGCCATCAGACCCTGGAGCTTGGTAGCGCCCGATGCTAAACACCCTCGTCGAATTTCATCATTGGAGATCGGGGCCGTCAGATACGTAATCATGGTTGCAGTCACTTTCCGGGGCAACCTGAGACCTTGCACAAACTGGATAGGATCTATATGATTAGAAGTAAACATTAGCTGGAAATATGGTACTGCAATACCTGCCATCACGTCCATCGTGTAGTGAAGAACACCAGCATCATCACGTAGCCCTTCAATCCGATTATTCCGCCGACGATGAAGAGTGGCTAGGTGGAACAACCGAGTGTTTGAGTCCCCTTTTTGAAGCCAACCAACTCTGGACTTTTGTTTTCAAAAAACTTCTTATTGTTTGTAAGCCTCTGTCAACTGTAATTCCAACTCTTTAATTTGTTCCCAATCTACCATGTCGGCCTCCCTATCTGTTTCGATAGCATGCCGGCACTCTCGGATAGCACGTGCATAATTTGATGTACCCAGTCGATCCCACTCTACCAAGTCATGACGGACAAACTTGAGATGAGTGAAAGATCGAAATTGCAGAGTACCATGTGTAACTTTACCCCAAGCTTGCTTGATGATATCCAAAGCCTCGTGATTTGTATCACATCTCCCATCATAGTGGAACTGAGTTCTTGTTGGTTGATTCTGTGCGGTGAGCTGCAACAATAACATTCGGTGGTCAGAACCTAGATCAGTAAGATGAATTACCTTTAGCTCCGGCCATGAGGATAGCACAAGATCACTGCCCAAACACAGATCCAATCGCTCCATGATGTGTGTCGATACTGATCGTCGATTAGACCATGTGAAGGGGGATCCATGATATCCAATATCAACTTACCCAGCTGCATTCACAAATGAATTTAATTGATCCAAGGCTGCCATAGTGGGAAGATTACCACCATGTTTTTCAGAAAGGGCAAGGAGAAAGTTAAAATCACCCTGAAAAAATATTGGAAGAGAGAAAGATGAGACCCAAGAGAGAATTTCATTAAGTTGCCCCTGCCTAATGGGAGCATCGCAAGACAAATGCACAAACATAAGAACAAAGGACCCTACCCTACACCTACAACTGTACATTCGAGGATACAAAGGAAATCAGAAAGGAAGTGAACTGTACAGGCCATGCTAGATGACCAAGCAACCGCTAAAGATCCTCTCCCTCTAACAGAATCACGACACCTACAATTATGAAAACCCAAGCTTGCAAACTTCCCTCGCACAAACTCCTCATCACGTGTGGTTTCACTGAGGAAGACAACATGGGGTCTAAACCGACCCTAGAGTCGGAATTGTCAAGGAGGAGCGGATACCTCGACAATTTCACGCTAGAACACTCATGGATTCACGTGGGACCAGTCGAGGCTGGTTTCCTCCACCCTTGAAGTAGTGTCCATTATGTTGTTGTCCCGCTTGATGCGTTTTGCTGTTGGGGAGGTCGACTGGCCACCATCTGCATCGATCATGTCCGCCTCCAGCATAGGATTCTTCAACAACTCCCGTGGCTGAGATTCAGTAGCAAGAGTTGGTCCTGTTGTTAGAGAGCGTAGTTACATCCTTTCCCCCATGCGGCCAGGCTTTGGCCGACGCGTATCCTTCCAGACAGAGTCTCCATGAGCACCCACCGCCCTAGTCCTCCCCATGCCACCTGCTGGAGGACGCGGCAACTTGAATCCACCAGGGTGCGAAGAGGAGGAGGGTCTTTGCGACACCGCCCGCAGCCAGGTAAACTTCTTCTTTCTCCGAGCCAATATTTCCTCCATAATCGGCGGACCCATTTCCTTTGAGACAGTGAACGTCCCATAGCGAGGCGGATTCCCCTTTCCTTGGTACGGTGAACTCACGACAGGAGAGAGGGGAGATAATTATGTCCTTTCTTTTTGCTCGAAGAATCTTCAGTTCAGTCACGGTAGATTAATAATTGTTAAACAATTAACGAAAAAGATTAATAATTGTTACGAAGCAGTGTCATGTTTACTGTTTAGTATTTAGAAATATTTAATTTCAATATTGGTCACTCAAATTAATAAAATGATTCACATGTGGTCCCTCTTCATTAGTCTTCTTCCAACTCCGTTAATGGAGTCTGTTATGTGTTAACATGGCAAACGAAATTGCCTAATTAATGCAATTTTAACCCAAAAATAATAAAACTCCACCAGCCATGTCATCTTGCTCAACCCAATCCAACCCTTAAACCCAACCTAACCCCCTCTTTTCTTTTTTCAATCGCTAACCCTCTTCTTCTTTGACTTTTCTCCATTGTTTCTTCTAACCCTTCTTCCCCACCGCTTCCTCTCCCTCACTCCTTCAACCGTAGTTTTCATCCTCCCTTAATGTCCCCATAGTTTTGGTCTCTATTAGGGTGATTGTTTTGTTGAATTTTAGATTTTAGTCAAAATTAAATCGATTCATGAGTTTATTGGTTTTTCGATTAAAATCGTAAATTGATAACTTGATCAAAATCTATAAAATACAATTAAAAAATAGTTTATCGACTCCCTGGTTTATCCGAAAATCGATAAGTACTTAACGATTTTAGTTTTGGTTTTAGAGGCTAAATTACAAGTTTGGTTACTCGAATTACATAAATCTTTCACGTTTGCCACCAAAATTACTTTTCTTTCATATTCGCCACTAACTTTACGATTCATTTTATCGTTAGTCACCGGCCATCAATCTCCGTTAGTTTTTTGGTGACGTGGCAAATAGAACAGCTGACTGGACCGTTAAACAATGACATGTCAATTAAAAAAAAAGACAAAATCAGGCCCCACCTCCCCCTCCCTCGTCTTCCTCACCTTCCCCACTGTCGCCTTTTGTTCGTCGAGCTCTTCCTCTTCCACAATGTCATCAATAAACGACCATTTATTCCCCCCTTGAAATTCTCTCCATATGAATCAACTAACCCATTTTGCATGGTAGCATCAAATGCTCGTCCACAAAAAGCCCCAATCCCAAGCCTGTCCACATGCCGCCGCCGCATCACTCCCCCGTTCCTCCTCTTGCCGACTCGCCGCCAAATCTAGAGCCGGAGCCGATCATGGTCGAGGAGAAGAAGGAAATTGGAGTCGGGAAGTTAGTAGCGAAGAGGAGATCGAAGCTAGATGCGTAGGGGATTTTCAGCGTGAGCTTGAGTGAGAGCGCGATGTTGATTGCGACAACGGCCAACGACGAGAAGTCATGTTGAAGTAGCTGAAGTCGGGGAACAAGAGATCTTCTTCGGCGAGGATGAATTGGGTGTTTTTTACGGCGAATTTGGTTTGAGGAAGAAATGGGAAGCTGGGAGGTCGCTGACTCAACAATTTAAATGGTCCCGACGAAGAGCAATTACCCCGCATCCGGCGGCGGTGGGAAGGTAAGATGATGCTTCAGCGGAGCAGAGAGTCGGGCCCTAATCTGGCTATGAGAAAAAGCCTCTTGCGTCGGCACCGATGACGACGTCGAGGAAGGAGGAGAGCTGTTGGGGTTGCTGGATTTGAGGCGGAGGGAAGATGCGGCGACTTGCAGCAAACATGTTCGATCTATTTCCCCAGAGAAACTAAAAGGTAAAAACTAAAAACAGAGATATCACACCTCTGGATATAAACCAAAAGAACGAGATCTACAAAAGAGTCACACTACTAGCGAGTGAAAGCGTAGAGAACTAGGGAATATCATATCAAGATAGAAACGAGAATGAAAATAACCAGCGGGACAACTGCGGCGTACTCGTAAGTGTGGGAGTTGTCGCCTTCCAAGGTCCCGAGCTCGAATTGAACAATGTTGACCATAGCCAACATAAAAACATGCACCCAAAATCATGTCTGATGCCGGATATGAGCATTCGGATCCGGAGGAGGTTCTTGTTCACCTGACCAGGAACTCGGTGGGGAGATGGAAATGGTTGTTCTGGGTGATCGAGTAACCGGGGGGTCCGTGAGATCCTAATGGGTTGCTTGAGAGTGAGCGCGACGAAACTGGAGAAGAGGAAACAGCTGAAGGAGTTGATGTGGAAGGAGATGAGAGCCTCGCCGACGCTGCGGCTGGAGGTGGAAGCTGGGACAGTGATTATTGTTCTCTCAGTGAGGCATTTTCAATGATGGTGAGGTGTAAAGAAGAGGTGGAAAATGAAAAGAAAAAGAGTTATTTAAAATTGTATTTTTTTAAATTGACACGTCATTAATTAATGGCATAGTCAACAGTTCTGTTTGTTATGTCATCAAAAAGTTAATGGTGTTAACGGAGCCTGACGGTCAGGGACTAACGGTGAAATGATTCGTAAAGTTAGTGGAGAGTAAGAAAGAAAAGTTATTTGGGTGGCAAACGTGAAATTGTTTTGTAATTTGAGTGAGAAAACATGTAATTTAGCCAGTTTTAGACAAATAGCTTATTCAAATTTCAATTCCTACTAAAATTTTGATTTTGTTAACCGAACCGAAGCGTCACCCATATATAATTATATATCACTTTGAAACACTTCTATGTTAGGAAACTAATGGAAAATATAAACAACTACAAAAGAAGATTAGAGAGGGAAAGACACAAGAGAAGAGAGCGGAAGAGTTCTTCTTATTCATTCTTCACTTTTGATACGATAGTGTGCTCTATTTATAGGAACACTTTAGTAACCACTACATCCTTATATCAATGCATATGAATAAGAGATAATGATGTAGGAATAGGGGTTACATGTAACTCTCAACTGAGCATCTAATGTGGTAGGTCATAGGTCATCCATATATCAATAATTACATAATACTCCCCCTTGGATGACCACTAGATTGCATTACGCTATCTCATACTGCCTCATTAAAAATCTTACCAGGAAAACCCTGTCGGAAAAAACCATGGTTAAGGGAAAAAGAGTGCAGTGCGCATATGCTCCACCTCATGACCACATCACTTCAGATCTTTGAGTGGTTGAACTCAAATTTTACGAACAAATTTCAGAAAGATTGTTGTCAGGAGTGAGTTAGTGAACAATCTTCTATATTGTCAATTTGATGTATTATCTTTAGATTTTCTTCATACATGATCGTCAAGATCATTTCTTTTGGAAATAGTTCACAACTACAAGTCTTTTAGATATGGTGAATCACAAAGTGTAACGAAGTTCATTCAGGACTTGCCTATTATACTTTGTTTTGTTTCTCTATGAAACAGTTATACCACCATATGTACGAGATAGCTCGTCTCCGATCAACCACTATGAGGATCAAATGGTATATAGGATTTGGATATATAGTTCATCAAATATCTCTTTGATGATACCATAATACAACAATCATATATATTGTTCCTGAAGATAACAAAGTATTTTCAATGTTCCATTGTGAGAAACCTTGTATTTTGCTAATATTATCAACACCAACATGATATTTTGTATGGTGCTCTAATGCATCAACATATGGTACTTCAGGACCTTGTACATCAACATATTGTACTTCAAGACTTAATGTTTTACTTCTTTCTTGATGCCTAAATGGACCTTTGGTCACTTCTAGTGATATTAGGATCCTAGTGTTATTTGATGAACATAATTGTTCATGCAAAATTACTTTTTCACTTTTTCAACATTACCTTCCTTGCCCATAAAAGGATCTTAAATCTTTCAATTTAACTTATGTCTCTAAACAATCAACTGCTTTAGGAAGCTCTTCAGGAGCTCCAATAATATTCATATCATCAACATAATATGAGATCGTCACAAAGAATTGATGTAAGCAATTCTTTCATATCACGAAAGATAATAACAAAACTCACATCATAGAAACAATAAACACTCGACAAAGAACACTCATAAAACACAAATCATACTTTAAAGTAAACACAACTCATAAACCAAGAATTTAAAATCCTTGAAGCACATACAGAAAACACAACTATATATGCACAATGCAAATGCTCTAATGCAATCTACCCGGTTTTAACCTTTTAAGATCCATTCACCCTATTGTTGTAGGTGTTAACTTAGACGAGTATTTCACATTCGTCTATATTGTCTCAACCCATACAGGGGATATTCTTAATCTATCGATATATGTTCTCGAGAACTTTACTTGTTTAATTCAGGTAAATTAATCCTTCTAGGAGTTTCAAATATATATATAACATCTTTAGGGAATTCAAACAAATAGGCTATCACAACAATTTTCAAACATTGATTTGAAAAAGTAGATGCATCCACCACAGGGGAGCATAACTTCTCTTAAACAATGATATGTCTCTTCGAGAAACCCATTGCAAAACATTGTGCAATATCTCTCACAATTCCATACGTTCTAATAACACAAAAATTTGTTTGTATCCCGCTATTTTTACCCTTTTCAGGTGTAAGGACTTCTGGTCCTCAAAACTTTATGCTCTTTGAGCAAGTTTCGTGATTTCTTTCTATATTGGCCAATATCATCATTATTTGCATGCATCAATAGAGTTTTACTCTTGATCCTCACTTGTATATATCATATTCAGTACTGAAGTATAACAAACAAATTTCGTCGACAATGACTTCATTACGGTCCCAGTATTGTAGTCTAAAATGTTTTTTTAGATCTCTTCGCTTTCACAACTTTTAGAGACATGTGTTCTTCTGGAACTAAAATTATAATTTATTCTTGGTTACTCTTCTTGAGTTTTCATGTTTTCGAGTTGATCATTCTAATTACAACTTCTTTTCTTTCTCGAGGATGTTTATCATTGGAACCGATTGGTCTATCACACTTGATGCGCTCTTTTAGACACATTTATTATATTAGAGTATCCAACAAGGATATCAAATTTAGTTGGAGCATTCACAGCTAGTATATGTGACTTGGTCACTTTGCATGGCCAATAAAGGCATTTGATAGTTGGTAATGATAATTCATCTTATGAACTTCAGGTTCATGTTTCTTACTTTGAGGATCAATACTAAATAATGATA